TGGTGGTCTCCCCACTGTAAAATAAAAGAAATACAGGGAAATTGAATGAATTAGGAAGCTCAGACTGCTGGTTAATGGAAGAAACAAAACTGGGAGACGCTATTTTTACTTAGAAACTTAAGCTAAGACCTTTTCCCCAAAACTGCCATGTGCATTTTCCTTTTTAAACAAAAAAATAAGTATCATCTTACAGTTATCAATTATCTAGTAGCAATATTTCCTTACTATGTTACCTTACAATTTTATTTCATTTCTTTTTAGACACACACTTTTTCCCTAAACTAAATAGGCCTTACTCAACCTCTTCTGCCCCTCACCCTATGTCTTCACATGGTCACAATGGCCCTTTTGCCCTTTTCTGTTGCAGAGGGAACCCCTCTCCCTCTGTTCCATCAGACTGGAGTACATTAGGGCAGCCCCTTCCCCAAAGAGCCATTTCTACTTAGCTGTCAGTACCCTCTCTCATCACTGATCCTAAGCCTCATCGAAAACGGTCCTGCCACTGAGCCACAGTTGGCCCTTGCTGCAAAGCCAGAATGTCATCATCTCCCTATTTTATTTATAAAGTAGTACAGAGACTCCTGCAGAAGTTGTTGCTAAAAATCTTCCATTTCTTCACTTGCCATTAGTGGTTGGTGCACAGTTTTGAATAGTAGTCATGTTAACTGGTCTTCCTAGTAGGCATAAGGATACTATCCTATCACTGACAGCATTGTACTCCAGGACAGATCTCAAAATATTCTTTCTGACAATGAATGTGATGCTGTTCCTCTTCAATTTTTCATTCCCAGCATAGTATAAGATTGTCTGATTCTAAATGGCCAGTAACAGTCCATTTCAGCTCACTGATGGCTAAGATATTGGTGTCCAAGCATTCTGTTTCATTTGATAATTACTAGTGGTTGGAAACAAAGATCAATGGTTGGACAATAATGGCCTTAGTGATAGTAGTGACACTGGAGATCACATGATAGAATTTTCCAAGACTCACAATTCATTGGAAATACCCTTTTTTCAACAACATAAACAGTGATTATACACGTGGACCTTGCCAGATGGAATACACAGAAATCAAATCAACTACGTATATGGAGACAATGGAGAAGTTCAATACCATCAATTGGAATAAGGCCAGGGGCCCACTGAGGAACACATCAGTTGCTCATATGCAATTTCAAATTGAAGCTGAAGAAAATTAAATCCACGAAAACCAAAGTGTGACCTTGAGTATATCCCACCTGAATTTAGAGACCATCTCAGACTAGATTTGATGCATTGAATACTAATGACCAATGACCAGACTGGTTTTGGAATGACATCAAGGACATCATACATGAAGAAAGCAAAAAGTTATTAAAAAAGAAAGAGAAGACCAAAATGGGTTTCCGAATGGACGCTGAAATTTGCTCTTGAACATACGTAGCTAAAGCAAAAGGAAGAAATGAAGTGAAATAGCTGAACAGAAGATTTCGAAGCGTGGCTCAAGAAGACAAAGTAAACTGTTACAATGAAATGTGCAAAGGCCTGGAGTTAGAAAACCACGTAGGAAGAACACAGTTGGCTTTCTCAAACTGAAAGAAATGAAGAAAAAATTTAAGCCTTGAGTTGAAATATTAAAGGATTCTGTGTGTGAAATATTGAACACAGGAAGCATCAAAAAAAGGTGGAATACAGAGTCACTATACCAAAAAGAATTGGTTCAACCATTTGGGGAAATAGCATATGATCAAGAACCAGTGGTATTGAAGGAAGAAGTCCAAGCTTCACTGAAGGCATTGGCCAAAAAGAAGGCTTCAGGAATTGACTGAATACCTATTAAGATTGAAAGCGCAGAGGACCTGGAATGAGGGATATCATTGCTGATGTCAGATGGATCTTGGCTGAAAACAAAGAATACCAGAAATGTATTTATCTGTCTTTTATTGATTATGCAAAGACATTCAGCTGTGTGGATCTTAACTTAATATGTATCGCATCGGAAAGAATGGGAATTCCAGAACATTTAATTTTGTGCTCATGCAGAACCTGTACATGACCAAGAGATAGTTGTTTGAACAGAGCAAGGGGATACTGCATGGTTTAAAATCAGGAAAGGTGTGTGTCATTGTTGTACCTTTCACCATACTTACTCAATCTGTGTCTTAGCAAATAACCCCAGAAGCTGGGCTATATGAGGAAGAATGTAGCATTGGGAATTGGAGGAAGACTCATTAACAACCTGTGATAGGCTAATGATACAACCTTGCTTGCTGAAAGTGAAGATCTCTGATGAAGATCAAAAATTACAGCCTTCAGTGTGAATTATACCTCAACAAAAGGAAAACACAAATCCTCACAACTGGGCCAATAAGCAACATCATGATAAACAGAAAAGATTGAAGTTGTCAAGGACTTCATTTTACTTGGATCTACAATCGATACCCATGGAAGCAGCAGTCAAGAAACCAAACAATGTATTGCATTGGGCAAATCTGCTGCAAAAGACCTCTTAAAAGTGTTAAAAAGCAAAGGTGTCGCTTTGAGGATTAAGGTCCACCTGACCCAAGCCATGGTATTTTTAATCACCTCATATGCATGTGAAGGAGCTCTGGTGGCGTAGCAAATAAGGCATTGACTACTAACCAGAAGGTCAGTGGTTGAAAACCCACCCAATGCTCTGCAGAAGGAAGACGGGGCGATCTGCTTCAGTGAAGGTTTTACAGCCTTGGAAACCCAATGGGGGTCGCTATGCCCCCCCCCCATGTGCATGTGAAAGCTGAACAGTGAATAAAGAAGACTGCAGAGGAATTGATGCCTTTGAATTATGGTGTTGGCAAAGAACGTAATATACCGTGCACTAGCAGAAGGATGAACAAATCAGTCTTGGAAGAACTACAGCCAGAATGCTCCTTAGAAGTGAGGATAGTGAGACTGTTTCAAGTACTTTGGACATGTTATCTGGAGGGACGAGTCCCTGAAAAGGACATCATGCGTGGTGAAACAGGGTCAGTGAAAAGAGGAAGCCCCTCAACAGGGTAGATTGACACAGTGGCTGCAACAATGGGCTCAGCATAGTGATGATTTGTGAGGCTGGCGCAGGACATTTCTGTCGGACATGGGGTCTCTGTGAATCGGCACCAACTCAATGCACCTGACAACAGAGACTCCTCAGAGTTGGCTTCTCTGCAGGTGGCCTTGATTCCTTAGGAGAGGAGGTCAGGAGGTAGGCAGCTGGGGATGGGAGTTTTCGTTTATTTTATCATTAAAATTCCTATAGACATTACCTCCTTTAATCCTCATAGCAAACATATCCCACCTTAAACAAACAGAAACCAAAGTCACTGCCGTTGAGTAGATTCAACTCATAGCGACCCCTCCTTGAATTTCTGAGGTGGTATCTCTATGGAAGTAGATTGCCCAGTCTTCCTTCTGAGGAGTAGCTGGTGGGTTTGAACCTCCAGCCTTGTGATTAGCAGTCAAATGCCTTAGGCACTACGCAGATGAGGAAACAGATTCAGGGATGTTAAGTATGTTTCTTCCTCAATGCAGTGTTATTCAATTAGGGTCCACTTTCCTCCATGCCAGGCCATTATTCAACCAAAAGTTTAAGAGCCACAAATTGTCAAGAATCTTTTATGTGCAGAACTTAGTACTCAAGATGTGCATTTTGATAATCAATATCTGTATTTATTTTTGCAATGAGAATTGTAAGTTGTATTTATTTTTTAATTCTGGGTCTTATTTTTACTTGGTGAAAAATGATTGTTGAAATGTTATTTGTCCATGTATGTAATCTCCACCTTGTTCCAATGAGGATTTAAGCAACTTTAATGACTTCAATAAAGCCTGTGGTCCTTAACATATGCAAGTACCATCCACCTTCCAAACAACCTGTGTGCAGAGCCAGTAGCCAGCTTTAGCCAAAGGAACCATTACCTGTCTTTCGCACATTGGAGTTGTGCTTTTCCTTAAAATTTTACTTCTTTCTTCAGAAGAACAAAACAAATGTAAATTTCTGAATTTAAAAATGTTATTTTGGTTCCTAAGTTTTCCCCAAGTCATAGAGTCTTAACCCAGGCTTCACTTTGTTCTCTGCAGGGAAGACTTGGGGTAGGGAGAGAGGAAGTACACAGAGACCGTTTTCACAAACAGTCGCATCATCAGGAAACAAACATGGGGAAAATGTCCACACTCAGAAATAATCAAAGCAATGCAAATTAAAGCAACAATGAGGTCTAATTTTTCACCTATTAAATTAGCGATACATTTTTAAAACGATAAGGCTAACAAGTGCCATGAAACTGATAATGCATCCATTGCTGGTAGTTGGTGTAAATTGGAAAGCAGTTTAGTAGGATGAATTAAAAACCTTAAAAATATTTATATCTCTTGACCTAGTGATTTTATTCCTAGAGATTTCCATACAAGAAATAATTCAAGAGAAACACTGCAATAATTATGACTCTGGTATTTAGGATGTAAAAAAATTAGAAGCAGCCTAAATGTCCAGTGGTAGTGAAATAGTGTACTGAATTATGGTATACCCACTCGAGGAAATACTAACCATCCATTAAAATTTTTTGTTAAAATGACTATATAGCAGCATGGAGAAGCTTCGAATATAGTTGGAGAAAGCAGGATATAAAATTATACATGAGCTGTGATTGCAAGTAATTTTTATATGTCTACTGTGGGCAAAAGTGAATATGTAAAAGTGAGAATAGCTGTGTAAGGTAATGAGATGAGAGATAGTTTTTTCCCACTATTATGAATTATTTTTATATTGTCTTCGTAATTTAATGTGTATGATTTTAATGTGTCGTTTAATGTATGAGGACTTCTCTGGTCCTCAAAAATCAAAGAGGCAAGTTAGCCTTCCTCTTCTTCCCCCTTTGTCAGAAGGATCAGCTCTGAATGTTGAATGAGTTGCATAGTCTCTTAGCTCTGGGGTCTGAGGGAGCTCAAGGCCAGGTGCTGTGACCTCCAACACCAACCCCCCCCAAACATACTTCTCCCCTCAGGACATCGCTGAGAATGGCTGTGCCCCAGCCACAGAAGAGCAGCTACCAAAGACTGCACCATCCCCACTGGTGGAGGCGAAGGACCCCAAGCTCCGTGAAGACCGGAGGCCAATCACAGTCCACTTCGGACAGGTATGTACTCTGGCCCTGTTAGCAGTCTGTCCGTCAGCAGGAGCTGTAGCACACGCCGCAGATGGGTTTTCATTTCAGCTTGCTCTCTGGCTGAGGAGCTCCATGGAAATTTTCACCTCTTCCATTGTTTATTTGGTGCAAAAATATTTTGAAGGTGAATTTTTTAAAATTGTGAGGGGACAGCAATGCTCTGGTCATGAACTAGCTGTACTGTTGAATGAAGTCATTAAATGCAGCAGCTGCCTCCCCCTCCAAGGCGCCCTTTTTAAGGCACCTCTGTTAGCTAAGCATTTCATTAGAACACTTTAGCATCCCAGGCCTTCTTTGCACCTTCAAGTAAAAGACAACAAGCGAAGTCTTAGAAAAAAAATCAATTAGAAGTTCTTTATTAATGTACTTCCTGAATATCCACATTGGGAGTCCTGCTGCTCAGAGTAAACACCCACAGTACGATTCTAGAGGTTTGATTCTTTAACCAACTATTTCCATCAACTTGAGCATTTGAAAAATTCTCTTTGCTTGATTTTTTCCCCCTTAAGTAAAACATTGTATTCTGCATAAAAACTGAAAATTGTATCCATATCTTATCAGTGGTTATGTTTTTGGTTGAAAAAGAGTGTGTATCCTCCTCTCTCTTGAATTGACGCTTGATTAGCAAAAGTCAGAGTGTTTGTGCTTTATGAAAAATGGTTCTGTTCACAAGATATGGCTGTAACAAGAATGTGCAACGTTATGTATGTTTAAATCACCTGAATCATTAGTCATGTGTTAGAGGAAGCACGATGAAAATGATCGTTACGATTTCCCCATTTGATTGCTGTTTCACCACATAAAGGACTTAGAAGCCGACATGTAAAATGTTGCTGTTTGTAACTGACATGTGTCAGGTGCAGTTGATCAAGTGACATGTCCCAGGCACTGAGCTATTTAGAAATGAAGGAAACTAATGGAACTGTAGCTGTAGGTTGTTACGGTACGGGATGAGTTCACCAAAACACAAGTCGGTCCTCTGTAATTAGTATTTTCAGATAATACGTTCATACCTCTTTAACCTGAGGAGGTTCATTCTCCTCTTCTGAATTTTGCACTTAAAAGGGATGTTATAAATTGAAATGTAGCGCAAGAAAGTAGCACCCATGGGGCAATGCTCATTTGGTTAATGATTATCTTCAAATTGCGTTGGTGTTTTCACCCCTGAAGAGCCGCCTCCTCCCCGCGCTCAGACCCTGCTGGAGAAATCTGCGCCCCAGTTCCCTGGCTGTGTTTGCTGAAAGCGCAGCCCCAGTTGTCACCAGCATGGCATTCCAGAGCTAGCTTCCTGCTTTCCTTTGTCCTCATTCCTGCACACGCTAACCTTCCCATGAAAAGAGCCCCTTGCTGTAGTTTGGAGCCCATTACAGAGAAAGAGGGGGCGGGGGAGAGGGATTTCATGGTGTTAAACATTCCATTTTCGAAACAGAAAAAAAGGAGGCCCTATTTGAAATGGAGAAAGACCTTTCCATTTCAACAAGAAGTGGAGATGCTTTAATCCATTCCCAGCTAAATGCAGAATAAGTGTGTGTGTGTGTGTGTGTGCATGCGCATGTGCACACGCGTGGGTGGGAGATAAACAATTAAAAAAGCCACCCCAAACTCTGTTGAAATAAGAGCTGTCTGTGCCTTCACAGGTCTGTAAACTGGAGAGGATGAAAGTGGCTTTTTTCCCCGTTTGTCACTTCCCTCACGTGGCTGCCAGCATTATGCAAGTGTACAGGAAGGCAGGATTTTTTTTTAATGCATGCATGCGGATTAAGGTCAAGCCCTGAGTATCAGCCATGCAGCAGGCTCTCCCTTACAGCTGCAGCCACAGAGCCTACCCACAGCCGCGAGATGCCTTAATTGAGACGTGCTGTCAAAGTGACAAACACATTTGCATACAGTCTACACTCTATTTATTTTCACTGGAAAGGTCTACAGTCTGCTGTTGGTTGAACATTCTTAATCAGTTTGCTGTAAGTGAACTGCCAGTTAGCTCACTTGTGCCGGCCGCTTCTTCTTTAGGTGACAGATCAGCTGCAGGGGGGATGGGCCATGAAACTGCAGACCCCTTTCTTTTAATTCCTGCTTTGCCCCTTTGGCAGGTTATCTTTTAGTCCTTCCCAGGTGCCTGCTTTCATTAGCCAGTGGCTATAGCAGATAGCATTTCTTGAGCGCCTACTACTGGTAGGCATGAGTTTTAGAGACTTAAAAAAAAAAAAAAGCTCACTGTCATCGAGTCATTTCCAACTCATAGCGACCCCTCCTTGGGTTTCCGAGGCAGTATCTCGATGGAAGTAGATTGCCCAGTCTTTCTTCTGAGGAGTGGCAGGGGCTTGAACCGCCAGACTTCTGGTTAGCAGTCAGATGCCTTAGGTTCTTCTCAAAGAATAATCTTTAGAGTACCATTTCAAAAATGCTTGCCGCATTCTCCTGCCAACTATGCTGTTTTTTACTTGATATTTATCTGTAACTAGATTCAGACCTGACATGCATACCAACTTTAGCTTCATCTTAAGTAAAGACATTGGTTAAATCACAGGTATGATGGACTGGTTCAATTTTTTTAAAAAAGACATATTAAATAACTTTTTAAGTGTCCATCCATGTGTCACCTGAGCAACTCATGTAGCCTCAGTGGTATACCTTCTCCTTTTAAGAAACATGGAACCCCAATATTTTGTGTCATCTCTGCCATAGCCCTTTGAGGAACGGATCATTAGCCACATTTTATGGATGCAGAGCTGGGGCTCAGATACCAGGGCTACCTCCCCAGCACAAAAATCTGGGTCAGGCATCTGATTCCAGAGCCCACACCACTTCCGTCACCAGCTATAGACCTCAGCTATGTGCCAGTCTGTTAAAGCAGCAGTGCCTGGCCAAATGAGTACACTAGCCATATACGTGCGCCTGTGGAAAAAATGTTTCATGGGTGTGTGTTTCTGGTGTGGACTTCGTTCTTGAAGAACATCTAGCATTAGAATGGGTATGGAAATTGTTGAGATTGTGACATTAGTCTCAGCCTTGCAAAGCTGGTGCCTATGTCAGGAGAGCTCCATGCCGACATCTCACGGTGGCAGGGAACCTAACAGAGGCCCTTTGCAAAGCCCACAGGCAGCAGCTCTGCAGAGGGGCCTGGCAAGAAGGGAATTTAATGTTGAGCCAGGGCTGCCACTGCCAAGGGAGAGGGCCCTCTTGCCCTCGCCTCAGTGGAGTTTCCTTCTTCAAGGCTATGACCACTCCTGCATTCATTCCCACATCTGTTCAACCATGTGTTGAGACCACTCATGTGTAAGATAAATATGTCCACTGTCCTGGCTCTTGTGGAGCTCAAGGCATGAAGGAAAGAGGTCCACAAATGGACAGCCCCAATCTCAAGTGATAAGAATAGGGCCCCACAAAAGCAACCTGTCTGCATGTCCAGAGTTGGACCCTATAATGAAAAGATATCTTGTCAACACACTGAACTCCCTAACAATTCATCTCTTTTCTAAAGCCGATATATAAAATGCCTCAGAGCTTGTGGTGAACACATGTTGACAAAATTCCAGACAAGAAGCAAATAAATGGATTTTCAGTTGGTCTCTGCATCCTTCTCATATATGGTTTTTTTTTTTTTTTTTTTTTTAAAGAGTTGAGATTTTGCCAAATAACTGGAGTTTGCACATTTGTACCTTGGAAAGTGTATAGATTTAGAGAGGCTTTAATGAACACCTCTTTTCTCCCCCTCCCAAGTTCAGAATCAATTGAGAAATGAGGCCCAGGAAATAATCAGATGGAGATAAAAATGTCAGGTTTTTACTGATAAAGCTAAGAGAAGAGAGGCCAAATGGGCTTGTGACAACTTCACCTCAGAATTAAAAAGACTCTGTTAGTTACTCCACAGTGGAGACATAGAAAGTGGCAGCTTCCCTTGGCCAGAAGCTCAAGCATTAGCTGACCACCAGCAAGGAGGAATCACCCTGTACGCTGCGCCTGAAGAGATGAGAGAGCATGCTCAGTTCCTCCTCCCAGACCCCCCAGGAAGGCATTCCTCATCTGGGAAATGAAAAGCTAAGGGTTCCCCTTGCTTTTCTCTTCAGGGATGGGGAGTTGAGAGTTCCTCCTGTCTGTGGGTATAGAAAGAGTGAGGAGCCATGTCCTCTTGAGGAGGGCCTGGGAATCCCTCAACCAAAGCTTCTTGCCTTGACCACTTTCCCTTTCAAGAAACCAGCAGAAGTAGGTAGCACCCTGTGGAAGCTGCTCTGCTCCCTGAAGATGAAGAGGCCATTAGATACTTTCATGTCTGTGTTCATTTAATTGAATTTTACCATCAGCTGTCAAGGAAGAAGGTAGCACACCCACTTTATATATGAGAAAGGAGCTCTGGTGGTTTAGTGCTTAAGGCATTTGGCTGCTTAACCAAAAGGTCAGTGGTTCAAACTTACCAGCTGCTCTGTGGAAGAAAAATGATGCAATCTGCTTCTGTAAAGATTTACAACCTTAAAAGTTCAGTGGGGGGTCACCATGAGTCAAAATCAATTCAGTGGCAGTGAGTTTGGTTTGGTTACATATGAGGAGTCCCTGGGTGGCAAACAGTTAGCACACTCAGCTGCTAAGAGGAAGACTGGGGTCGAGTCCACCAGAAGTACCTCAGAAGGAAGGCCTGGCAACCTACTTCAGGAAAATCAGCCATTGGAAACCCTGTGGAGCCCAGTTCTGCTCTGACACACATGGGGTCACCGTGAGTAGGAATCAACTCAACAACAACTGTTTTTGTCTTTTGTTTTGTTTTGTTTCTGATATATGAGGAACTGGGCTTAGAAAATGGTCATTTGAATTTAATCCAGATGCTAAAGCCAGCAGTACCTCTACTCTCTGAGCCGCGTGCAGCTCTCCCTACCTGGCTGGGGCATTAGACTGACAGGGTGAACTCAGTGATGGGATTCTAGTTCTGGATGTGTGCGGCCCACATGGTGGGCCTTGGCAGCTGGGCTATCTCAGGA